GCCTCAAACTCACAGAGATCCACCTGCCTCTGCCTCCGTGGGTGCTGGGATTGCAGGTGTGACCACCACGTGTTATTTTGAAAGGCTGCCTCTCCCTGATTTCTGCTAAGCTGTGGTTTGATTTGGTGTCACACTTAGCTCATTACAAACTGTTACATACTATAGACTGGTTGTCTACCCCATTGCTTTTGATAGTGTCTGGCGTGTAAATTGCTCAACAGTCTAACTCCATTAAATCTAGACAACGGTAGCTTTTGAAACCAGTTTCAGCATTTGTACTTAACCCATAATGACTCAACAATTCCCCCCCCCCCACACACACACACTGAAAATATTTTCCCACATTTCTTTCTGTTGACCAAGGTGTCCTCTGGCTTAGCCTTTTGCACTTGTTTTCCAGGGCACCTTTGGGGAGAACTTCCCCTCACTGTGCAGCCAGCTAGCCAGGTGTTAATCGGGCCTCTTACAGATTGCCTCTCCCAGGATAAAATGTCTGAACTACTACTGAGGTGTAATCCCGATCTTCTCAGCTCACTCCACCCTCCTCTGCGTCTGAGGCCAAGCCCAGCACTGCTAGTCACCCCTGGAGTAGAGGCCCCCTCTGCCCCCGTCCACAACCCCGTGTACTGGTCTTTTGCTCCTTCTCTTCAGGGATTTCTCATTCACATCTTCACCTTATTTATTCACAGAGACCTTAAAAACAAAAACAAAACAGCTTTGCTACTTTGGAGAGATGTCTCCTGGGCCCTTTGCTCCCCACGCAGAGGGAAGCTCTTTTGCTTTTGAGGCATTTGTAGATCCAGGTACTGAGATGGCAGTTCTCTGCTTCGGAGTTATGCAGGTATATGTTCTGTATGGCTCCACAGGGAGGGGCCATACAAACTTATACCTGCCCAGCCATATACCTATGCCATCCATGGACCTTTATTCTGCCAATTTTCACAGAATCCCCCCTCTGTAATCTGCCTTAGCCAATGGTGAGTCACTGGCTGTGGTTTCAGGGCCCTGAGATACACTGTTACTCAGAACTGTGCCTGGTGCTTGAAGGGGTCAGTAAGTTAGTCCAGTTTGGTCCTCATGCTTCTGTGATGTGTCCTGCCTGCCACCCACCTAGATTTCTACTTTACTTTCAACCTAGGCTTTGTCCTCTAACCGTTCTTTCTGTCTGAATGCTGCCAGCTAAAGCCTGTCCCCTGCAAAGCAAAAGCCGATGTGTGCTTTCCTGTTCTAAAACTCCATTCCCCTCCACTTGCTTTAGGGGTTTCTCTATGTGTCTTCAGATAGTTGTGTTTAAATTCTTCCTCATTTCTGCCCACAGATGCTCAACTTAGGATGGGATTACTTCCCAATAAACCTCTTAGAAGTTGAAAATGTTAAAAAAATGAGTTTCACACAATACCCAAAGAGCATTGTGGCTTAGCAGCTCAGCACCCCACAGGGAGCTGTTTCCCCTGGTGATGGGGTGCTACAGCTGTGCAGCACAGCAAGACCCAGCTGTGTTCCACTAGCCTAGAAGGTTAGGGTGCCAAAATCTAAAACACAGTTTCTATGGAGTCTGTATTGCTTTTAGGCCAAGATAAAGCCGGAAAGTGTGTCAGACCTTTACATAAAAACTATCCTTAAAACTCGAGGCAACTTTTCTTGTTCTTAACAACTTTTTTCAGAGGCTAGGATGTCTTCTTCATTTGTTGCATCTTACAGGTTACCAAAGTTCTTTTCCTGTAAGTGGGGTTTTAATAAGTTATTTTCCCCACCCAGCATTGCGTCTTCATTCAGGTGGGTATGAAGGAGTCCCTCATATTCTCAGGCCAGCATGCTGACAGACGGACGGTGTGGACAGTGATCTACTGTCCGGGCTTTGCAACCAGCAATGGCATTTTGGGAGCCTTATGCTGGTTTTTCTTACACAGCAACAATAGTAGAGTTAGGTCTTCTTTTCTTGCATACCTACTGAGCCTCTCTGCCCTGTGTTCCAGTCTGGTTTCTGCAGCCCTGAGCACCTTGAATATTGCTGGGCATGAGGACCCTAGACTCTGGTCCAAAAAAAAAAAAAAGAAAAAAGAAAGCGGTTTGGGTATCTGGGTGCTCCTTGGGATTGATTTCAGAGGTTCGCAAGCCATCAGCAGGGTCTGTAATTTTACAGGAGGTTGGGTTTTACTTGTCCCATATTTTGGCTTTTAGAATGAGTTTTAGAGAAAAATCCTAACTCAAAGAACTTGGTAACAGATAAGGGCACAGAGTTTGAATTTTGTGTTTAAATTTTCATTTCACGTGTGACTGTTGGGTAACACTATTACAGACGGTGTTGGAGATTTTCACGCCTTCTTTCTGCATTGAGCCTTTAAAAGTCAGAGCTTTTCAATGGGTCTTCGTGTTAGCTTCTTCCACAGACTTATTTTGTATGGAATTCTTGGCATTCGTCTTGTGTCACTAGAGTAGTTCATTTACACATACTTTGAGAAAGGCACGTCCTAAGAGATTTTGGAAGCAGTTATCTGGGGTGTGGGAGCTCAGAAAGGGTCTGAGGTTTGGAGAAAGATGATGTGTGTGTGCTCTTCTGTGACAGCAGCATAAGAAACTACAACGTTCTATGTCTTAGCTTTTTTAGATGTTACTGATCTTGTTGATTCTGTTTTCTTGCCTTTGAGTCAAGTTGAGTGGTTGGACAATCATGTGGCCCTAAAGCTTAAACCATCTGTTCCTTAGCAGTGCCCATAGGGTGCCAGCTGATTATTGCCTTCTTTTGGCATCTCGGAACAGCCTGCCCTCAGCATTTGAGAAACCTGTATGTGTCCTAAGGTAACAGCTGAGGCTGGTTCTTATACTGCAAAGAAAGGGGCAGGGTCCTGGGGTCACAGAGGGGAAAAGCCAGCATTCAGGATTAAATAAGAGAGAGAAAGAAACTGTTCTGTGTCCCCACATCCTCACCTCAGCCTGGAGGATGGGAGTGAAGAGGGTGTTCTGGTTGAGTGTACACTCCTGGGGGTAGAAATGGATTTAGGGGAACAAAAATAGCGGTGAACATAGTTTTCTTTTAGAGGTATAATCTCTTTCTCCTGCACATTTAGAAATTTAAGCTACAACTGCCATGAAATTGATTTTTGTGGAATTTTCCAGAAATGCTCCTTTTACTTCCATTAAAGACTTGCACCTGTGTATAACTATTCCCAAGTGAAATGGCATGTCAGTATGCTTGTGGGCCTCAATTGTGTTACCAGCTGTGTGGACCAGCTCACGCCTACCTGATAGCAGTTATGACAGGAGATACTGTTGGATGTGAAATCTGCCTCCCATTGAGTCAAGTTTTTCTGTTCTTAATCCTCCTCACATAGAAGCGATAATGAATGTTTAAATTGAGGCTGGTCTGCAGTTAAGGGCTTTAATTCTGTCTGTATCTTAAGTATAACTATGTTGGAGAGCTTGTTTGTTTGTTTGTTTTTAAGAAGAATGTCTTTGAAGGTGAAGATGAAGTATTTCCACATGCCCTTGCAGCTGTAGTCAGTCAACATGCATTAATTAGGAGTACCAGAGAACTTGGTACACACTCGTACTTCTAACCTGTAACTTTTCAAGGAACACACTGATGTTCTTGAAATTAAAGAGCTGTTAGCTCGATCTGAGCCTCTGCCTGCCAGACACGACACAAAGTCACACCTGACTGCTATGGAACAGTCTGGTAGTGTTTACATTAAGTGTGGGTGTCGCACCAGATTGTGGGTTTCTGCAGTAACGTGGGCATTACTGTCAAACATTTTTCTTCCTCTGAATTTTAAGTCTGCCATTTACACTTAGAATGTCAAGGTAGTAGAGTGCATTGCAGTAACAGAAGTAAACTTGATACACAGCATATCAATCACCAGTAAAAGATAAACATCACCTTCTCTTAACGATGTTAGCATAACAACACCAAGACTTGAGGGAAAATAGCCTATCTGTCCTAGAGCATTCCATTGAGACCTGTCTTGTTAGTTGTTGGTGAGTGATGCAAAGTCATGTTTAGCAGACGCTGACGTTCCTTTGCCTGAGCTGGCTGCACACCACAAAGAAGGCCCTTGCTGTTTGGAGCTATTGCTTACTGCTGGTCACCCTGAGGATGGCCAGCACAGACCTCAGGGGCTCTCTACTGTCCCAGTGGTGATTGTTAGAACCAACTCAGGCGGTGAGGCTGAATTTCAAAATAAAAAGGCCCATTGAATCATAGAGAAACTAACTAACTACCTCATGCACATCCATGGATGTGTTTTTGGTTTCAAAGCTACAAGTGTATTTCCAGTTAATTCTTAAAATGAAGATACATTTCTGTAATTACCAATATTTCTTGTGGTTAGAACACAACTGGTAAGGGGCTGGAGAGATGGCTTAGCAGTTAAGAGAACTGTCTGCTCTTGCACAGGTCCTGAGGTCAAGTTCCAGCACCGCATGGTGGCTCACAACCATGTACACTGGGGGCTGATGCCCTATTCTGGCATGCAGGTGTACATGCAGATAGAGCACTCATATACATAAATAAATAAAGTCTTAAAAAAAATAACACACATACCCACAACTGGTGTTTTAAGACCAGAGCCCTTCTGTTCTAGCCTTGGCTGGCCTTGAAATGGCAACAATCCTCCAGCCTGATCCCTGACTTGGGAGGCTGTATCCTTTCTTTTTTTAGTTTTCTTCTATGTGTGGTTTAAAGAAAGTTTTTAAACTGATATTAACATACAAAATTCATGTGTTAATGGGGTGCGACTTAACATTTTGATTTGTGTGTACTGTACATGCATTTCGAGTATAAAATGTAAGCATGTAGTTAGAGCTCCTTACCAGGAAGTTGTCCGAATCCCAAGTACTCTGTTGCCATTTTCTTTTCTGATTGGGGCAGGAAAGAAAAGATCAATTTTATGGCCTGTAGTGATGGTGGTGATGAAGATGGTGATGGTGAAGAATGTTTCCTTGTTTATCTTGTAGCTTTCTTGAGTAATGAGGTTTGTTTTTAAACTTTCTCTCATGCCTAGGTGGAAAGGATTGTTGACAAAAGAAAAAACAAGAAAGGGAAGACAGAGTATCTGGTGCACTGGAAAGGCTATGACAGTGAGGATGACACATGGGAGCCAGAGCAGCACCTGGTGAACTGTGAGGAATACATCCATGACTTCAACCGGCGCCACAGCGAGAGGCAAAAGGAGGGCGGCCTTGCCCGCGCCAACAGAGCCTCCCCCAGCAACGCCCGGAAGCAGATCTCCAGGTCCACCCACAGCAGCCTCTCCAAGACCAACCCCAAAGCACTTGTGGTCGGCAAAGATCATGAGTCCAAAAACAGCCAGCTGTTGGCTGCCAGCCAGAAGTTCAGGAAAAACGCAGCCCCATCTCTTGCAAACCGCAAGAACATGGACCTTGCCAAGTCAGGGATCAAGATTCTCGTGCCTAAGAGCCCCATTAAGGGCAGGACCTCGGTGGTTGACGGCTTTCCAGGGGAGAGCCCTGAGAAGCTGGACCCCGTGGAGCAGGGTCCCGAGGACACCGTAGCACCAGAGGTGACTGCAGAGAAACCCATTGGAGCTCTGCTGGGCCCTGGTGCAGAACGAGCCAGGATGGGGAGCAGGCCCCGAATACATCCACTAGTGCCTCAGGTTTCTGGCCCCGTGACAGCCGCCATGGCCACCGGCTTAGCTGTCAATGGAAAAGGTGAGTGGTTCAGGTGGGCTTTGCTGGCCTTTGCTCACATGCTGGGCAGTGACCCTAGAGGGCATGTGTCCCTCTCTAGAAGGGTTCTCCTCACATCCTCGGAGTTGGGGGGTGCTCACACAGCTAACAACTCCCTTGCCTTTGGGGGATGTTGACAGCTTCTCCTTTCTTTGCTCAAAGCCATTGGCATTCAAATCAGCACTGGCTCTCTCTTTGCCACCCACAGCCGTGTCAGCACTTCGCACTGCTCTGTACAGGGTCTCTTCCTAAACAGTTTATGATTGATACTTTTATAGCAAGCTTTAGGAAGCCATCTGCCTTCCTACACCTCTTACACACAGCTTCATTAAGAATCTGCTTGCGGTTTCTCGCTTGGCCAGCATAGGTTGAGTGGCCATACCCTTTATTTTGCGTGCCCATGTGATTCACCAGAAATGCTTCCATTGAGGGCACCCTGAGGAGTTTGGTCTGTTTCTTGATGCACAGCTGGCCAGATCCTGTTGCATCTTGGTAGGAGTAGGAGCTCACTCTGCACAGCACCAGTCTGTTGCCATCTCCTTGCTTTCACTCAGCCATAACCTGCCCATCTCCTAAGACAGCCTTTCCAGGGGCTCCTGCCCCTTGCTCATCCACACCTTAATGGCTGCCTGCTTTTAAAAAATTCCTCCCAATTCTCTCGCCTAGACCCCACTGGCCATGCTGGTCTTTAAGTCTTGATCCTGTCTTCTTGCCACAGCTTTCTCAGTTTTGATTCTGTATAAGGAACTGCTAATGCACCCCAGAGCTGCATGCTAGCCATGCGGGTGCTGCAGTGTTGGTTCACAGCCCCCGCTTTGCCGTGGCTTTCCATAACTCTCCTGGTTCTTGCCTACTGACACCTCTCGTCCATTTCATTTACATGGGTGGACAGCATAGTTCCCTGTGACCAAGCTGCTGAGTCCTCTCACTTCCTTAAGTAGCAAGAACACTTCTGGGTGCCCTTGGGCCACTGCCCCAACATGTGGAGGCTGAGGCATGGCAGCATACCCTGGCCTGTCATTCTCAGCTGCCTCCTGAGCGTTGCCTGGATTTCAGGCTCCACCTCCTGAACCCCTTTCTCTCCTGGCCCTTTTACAGTGTGGTCTCTGTGTGTACACCCAGCTCCAGCTTTGTAGACTAATATATGACACAGTGGTGAGGGGTTGCTGGGGAGAGCCAGTTAGCTCCACAGGTAAAAGTCACGTGAGTGTTATTAGCAATCCTGCCATGCTCTGTGTAACAAGTTTTTCTCTGGGCCTTCCCTTTGCTGTCTGTTAACTGAAGTCTGCTGTCTCACCAGCATTTTTCCAGATACATACCAGACCCAAGGTCCTGGTCTGCCAGCTGCTGATCATTCTCACAGGAGATTAGTGTTTATTTATGACTATGGTGACATTCCATGGCCGGGAAGATCATAGACAGTCACAGGTAGAAGAGACTATTAGTCACCTGCTAGTGAGCTCCGTTTCCCATGTAGAGAAGTCAAATCTAGAGAGTGAAAGTTCATAGAGAGAGCCATAGACACTGAAGGAATCAAAACAAACACCTCCATTCATCTCCTGTGTTCTCTTCATAGTGCCTCTACTAGTGTGGGGGGAGGGATCGTGTGCTTCTGTATTGATGATGTCAGGTGAGTCACTGTGCTCAGCTCTGGACACAGACAAGGGCTAGCACAGCCTGACAGGTTGTGCTAGGTTCTGACAGTCACAGCTAGGGCAGTATGGACCACCTGAAGTCTGTGCTGGCAGGCCTTAGGTGACCAGCAGGTGAGGACTTGAGAAGGCCTTGTGGCCCCGGGAGAGAATGGGGCAATCCTTCCAGAAAGCCATGCATTCCCTCTCCTAAGGGATGAGATATGAGACTGAAACTCTGCTCAACTGTTGGTCCACATGTGTAGTTTTGTTTTGTTTTTAAGCAGTTGTTTGTTTTTACTTGCCAGATTCATTTTAGAGCTGTGTAAGAAAATGGATTTGTTATTCTGAAACTAATTGAAGCAGATGCCAGTAGAGTCAATGGGAAATGAACCATCTTTCTGTTCAAAACATTAATCGTGTGTTCGGAGGATGTATTTACCTCTGAAAACAGATTAGAGTAGCTGAATCAGAATAAATGTTGTAGGCCATTTTAATACACTAATACTTTTATAGAATAACCATATGCATATTTGGCTTTTAACTGTTTTAGAGATAAAACAAAGGATAAGAAGGTGGATGTATAGCTTCTCTCATAAATGTAGGTAAGTTGTCTTCCTACTCCTTCAACAGGAGGTCAGAGGTCATTTCTTGCTCTAATTACCTAGTGAACTATTTTTACAAAATAAGCAGTTTGTATGTAGCTTTTAGAAGAGGATATTATAACTTTTTGCTGTTTACAAATTCAAATATGTAATTTGTTCTGCATTCCTCAAAGTAGGAAGTAGGAGATAATTGCCAGCAAGCCTTTAGATAGATAGATGGATGGGTAGGTGGGTGGGTGGGTGGATGAGAAAGACCAGAAATAAACCCTACCATTGTTACCACACAGAGCTGGCTATTAGTCAAGGGAAAGCCATCCTGGGAAAGTGACTGGAAGGCCTCAGCTTGCCTGCCTTCATCTCCAAGGATGTAGGTGGGCTTGAGGCCTGGTTCTCTTTCCTCTTACTTTCAGGGGAACTATAAGTTTTATGCTAACAGCTCCTCTCTAGTCCCATAGGGCTGTTGAGTATGAGGCTGTGATGCAGGGAAGCTGAAGGCAGAAACTAGCCAGCAGTAACACCTGGGACCACAGGAAAAACGTGTACTTGAAAAGAGGGGTATTGAGCAGGGTGTAGGGGCACGTGCCTATAATCCCAGCACCTGAGAGGCCGAGGTAGGAGGCTTGTTGTGAATATTAAGCTAGCCTGGGCAACATAGTAAGTTCAGGGGCATGGAGTACTACCGAGTCAGACCAGAAAAACTGAAATGATACAAGCGATGGTGTATGTGTAACAATGGGTTTTGGGAAGCCAGGGAGATGACTCGAGGGGTAAAAGCACTTGCTGTTCTTCCAGGGGACTGTGCGGTTCCCAGCACCCACGTTGGACAGCTCATAGCGTCGGGAATTCCAGTTCTATGGGTTCAGACACCCTTTTCTGACCTCTTTGGGCACCTGCATGCACATGGTATACATATAGACAAGGACACAAACACACATACACATAAAATGACATTAACTAGATTTTTTAAAAAGTGCTTGCTGCCTGTTTGTGAAGACCTGAGATTGTATCCCAGCACCCAGGTGAAAACAAGGTGCCTGAACTCTCAATGCTGGGGAGGCAGCGGCAAGATTCAGAAGAGTCAGTGAAAGCTTGCCTCATCTTTGCTTGCCTCAGAAGATGAGGCGGGGCTGGGAAGATGGGTGATTGGTTAAGACTTTAGTAGGTGAAAATGCTTGCTGTGCAAGTGTGAAGACCTAAATTTGAATCCCCAGAACTCTGCGTGAAAGCCAGGCACTAGAGTGTGAATGGGTGTCATCCGAGACACCTACAGTGCCTGTGGGCCAGCTAGCCTGGCTCGTGTAGCAACCAGCAGAGACCCTGTCTCCGACATTCCATGTGTGTCCAAGATAGTCCTTCACATAATCTTGTGCCCGCTCCCCCACCACACACATGCGTCATGTATGCATGCACGTGGCTGTCTGAGCCCAGTGGGCATTTGTCACGCCTCTGTGTGACTTTTCTGTCCTGACACTTCCTCTCATTTCCTCCTCATGAAATCAGCTACTTAACACTGAGAAAGGTTACAGAAGTTAAAACCCAGTGAGCAACAGCTCCCCTACCTCATGATAACTGACGCCCTCAAGCAGAACTTGTGATCTCAGTAACATGCAGTCCTTTGGTCCTGTGGTGAGTTTAGTGTGCTTTAGAATTCTAAAGCCAGCTCCACCCATTATAGGAATTTGGTTACCTCTAAGAAGTCTTCAGAGTATGCAAGTGTAATGGCTTTGTTCTAAAACTTATAAATACTCAGGTATTTGCCAATCAGTGATGTGTGGCTGAACCCTTGGAAAGATCTTGGGTATATCTCTCTGGCAGGGCATTTGCCTCACTTGAGCAAGCCACTGACTGGGCTGGGTCCATGACATGCATGTGAGCACTCGCAGAGGTTAATTCCATTTGCTACTTAGAGGGATGAAAGCCTTCGAGTATGAAGGGAAGGCTGTTTCCTGGAAAGCTCACTCTATTATAGCCTCTTTCATCTAGCTTGGACTTCTTTACAGCTGGCCAAGAACACACACGTGAACGTTTTTTGAGTGCACATTCCTACGCTTTGGTTTGCTTGGCTTTCCTTTATATTCTCATTTTCTCACATCTATTTGGACAGTTATATTTAACCTAGTCTTTTCCCAAAGCATTTGGTGTGGTTTTATTGAAGTATTAGAGCTCCTTTTTGAAATCCCCTTTTTTCCCCCATCCTATATGTGTTAGGATAACTGAGCTAGTTACATTTCTCAGCACTCTTAGGCTCCTTAATTGAGCCTCTTTGAGACAAGTAAACTGAAGGAACAGGTGTATAGGCCATTTAACTAATTTTACCCATGTGCCACAGAAATGAGGAAGTAGCCAGAGGAGTTAGACGTAAGAACTTATATATCATTTTAGAAAAGGACAGTAAGTTGTGAAGACGAACTACACACAGGAAAATATTCTTGGGGTTGGTGTCAAGGTGCGGAAGATAGACACGAACAGGCAGAGTGAGACTGGTGAGGTAAGGTTTGTTTGTGCAGCCTTGTCTAGGTTCCATCTCTCCCGTGATAAGTTGCTTTTTGGTACTGAAAGGGCAGAGTGTACTGAGAAGACACCCTGCATAGATTCAGATGGGAGAGCAGGGACATGTTCTCAGCCCTTCCAGGCACTGAGGGAAGGACCTTGCCCAGCACACATGGTAGACTGGGCCTGACCACCAGTCACCCTGCACAGAAAACATGCTCTGTGGGAGTGTTTCTCCTTCCTGTCTTGTGAGTGT